CAAGATGAGTTAATTAATTGGTTCCCATTCAGCACATAATTCCTTCTTTCTCAAGTCCTGGTGACTATGGAAAATCCACTGAGAAGGGCAACAGAACTGACGGGATACAGACAACTGGGAGTATACCTAGCCCAGAGTTCATACGTGCTTTGAGAATCACTTGTTCAAAAGTAACTCAGGTAGGTAAAACCATGCCAGAGTAGACTATGGATTATACAAACAATTAAAAATACTCAGAGGAGCAGTAGCATGCAACCTTCCTTTGTGGCAGGTGAGTACCCTAACCACTGAACTAGAGAGCTAATTTTTCACTTTGCTTCTCCCACAGTGAATATTAAGTAGTAATACAGACCAGAACAGCTGCAACAGGGAAGTCTAAGAGTTATCCACTGTAGAATAAATAAACCAGAAAACAGCCAACTCTCCTCAGCAATCTGCTGTATTCTTAGATACTATTAAAAAATCCTACAGAAATGGCTACTGTGCATGTGCTGAACAGCTCTGCAGCTGATCTTACAGTAAATCTGCAGCTTTCCACAGTATGACCTGCTATGCATAAGCATTTTAAATGCACTTAAATAGTGAATATAAAACGGTCTCTTCCAGAACTTCAGGATCAGCAGATTTCTGTCTCAGCCTTCCTCTAGTTCACACAGACCTAAGCTCAAGACCTTAATGCAAGCAGAGATTTGTAGATTTATTAAAAATTGACACTACTTGTATCAATTGCTCTTTTAAGGCTCAAAGTACAGTTACCTACACCTGCTGGTGACTTGTTCAATATCAGTAAAAGATTGTTTTGCTATATTGTTAAAATGACTATGCCACCTACTTCATTACCTGACACAGACATACCTTTCTGCTTCATTCCAGAAGAACAGCAGAAAGAAAATTATTATTAGATTATTATTTTGCACATAAACAAGTTGCCACATGATTTCACATTACTTGCACATTTACTTACAGAATCACTTGCACATTTCCACCTCACTGATAGGAGGAAAGCAATTTGTTCTGAGCAGTAAGACAGCTTTCATTCACTTCAGGATAAAAGCAACCACCTCCAAGTAGCTGATAGGCTGGAAACTCAAATATTAACTGATTGCTCAACAACCTGCTTCTGTTCCCAGACCTTATTCATGCCCTTGAGCTATGTTAGACAGGGTGGCTGCAAGGTTTCAGAGAGAAGGGAACTTTTGAAGGCTGTTAATTTGGTGTGTATAATACACACACTGGGGCACAAGTTCAGACACCTCAGTGCAGGTATCAAAGTATTTGAAATTTAACTAAGTGTTCAAGCTTTCATTATAGTCAAGGGTCACACTGGGCTCAGTCTAACCATAGGTTTCTAGTGACATTTGACAAGCCCTTAGCTGTCTAGCAATAACTTCAGATTTTTTTTCTCCACAGGAAAAAAATTCTCCTCCCAGGTTTTACTGTAGAGGGCTTTTTTTTTTTGGCAGATTTCCTGGTTTTATTCTCTGTTACACATCACCTAATTTTTCAAGTATAGGTGTAGTTATTTACAGGAAAATTCAGTACTTGGTTGGTTAAATTTCGCAATAATTTATTCGAATGTTTATTTGATATTATGAAAGCATTGTTTTTTATATAGTACATGACAGAGTACAGATAATGACTTTCTTCAATGTAGCTGTCACTTCTTTTTTCTTTTTAAAAGATCTAGGGTGGCCCGTTTTTTTAAGTTACATGTTTAGATTTCAGAGCACGTTTTTCTCTATTTTTTTTCCAAATTGTCCATGTCTTTCTTTAAGTAAACTACCCAAAACTGAACGCAACTGGGTTGGGTTTGTTGTTTTTTTTTTAATTTCTTAACAGACAAAATAAAAAATACTAAGTGAAAACTTTTCCATGTGTACTTGGAAATCTTGGAAATCTAAAAGGCTACAGAAAACACTATCTTAGAAACAACACTAAACATTCATTCAAAACCAACTTTATACTACCTTTCTTCAAGCTCCTATATTTTGCCAGCTATCAGCTTCCCAAAATTCTCAGAATAAACAAGAAGCAGGCATCCACAGTTCTGTGAAAATGCAAACTTTCTATAGCCACTGCTCCCAAGAGACTAATGTTTTAAATTTGTATTTCACTATTTTTTTTTATTTGTATGAGCACTACATAAACTATTCAAATTCCAAGTTAGCATACCTACACTGATCACTGTGCTACACAGACATAAACCAAAACAGTAGCAGTAGTTAGCTGGGCAGTAAAAAAAGTGAGATTATGAAAAAGTCTTACTATTCACTGAGTATATTAGTCTGAACAGTGTACCTACATCAGCTTAATTGTAATTCAGGTATTATTGCAACTAGGGGAAATAATTAAGTGATGGAAAATAAACTTAAACTGAGACAAGAATCCGTGAGCACAAGTTCATGCTAAAAAAGTACAACTTCAGAAAAGACCAATGTGGTCAAAACTATTAAAGAAGCCCATTAAATCCCTGTATATATGGCCCCAAGAATGCTTTCAACACAGCAGGGGTGTATGCAAGTAAGCATCTAAAAGATACAAGTGAGATACAATGGAGATAAATCCCTTCAGAATGATAAAAGACTTGCTTGCCATACAGAAATAAATCTCAGGGTTAATAATAAAATTTCAAGTATCAATCTAAATCTCTAGATTTCTGCACTTAGAACAGCTGCTTAATGCTGTGTTTTATGTATAACATATGTATAGACATACTTCGTCCAACTGTAAGTTATACTAGCATACTGTTTATCCTGCTTTTGTATTATAAAGGAATCAAAATAGCATCTGAATAGATGATTTCTGAAGTTAGTAAGATCTGTGTAACAGATTTGCTCTTTAGACCAACCAGCAGGTAAAATCATTTAATAACACATTATTATGAATTTAATAATGCGCGAACCAGAGACATTTTTGAGACACTCATCTCTCAACATAACAACAGAGTGACAATCAGGTTTCTTAACCTGCCAACTCTTTTGACTTTTAATAGAATCATTCAGTTTCATTTATTTTATGTAAATTGGGATTCACAGGTATTGGGGTTTTAGATTATTTACATCTCACTTAAAACATAAAGGATTATGGAGCTGAGAAAGAAGAAAATGTTTTAATTTCAATGTTGCTCTTCACATTGTAGATGATCTAGAGGGCAACATATCATTTGAAACCATAAGTGAGATACAGCAGCTCTTGCTGAAAGTTTCTGATCTTCAGACTATTCTTCAGAAGAAAGTGCCAAATATAGCAGCACTAAGAAAAGTCCATTTCCATTCGCTTTCAGTCTCTACAACCTCGTTATAACCTCTAAATTTCTTATTCTAAAAGACAGCTACCTTGTTCTGTGTCGTACATTGCCACTTTTTAAAGGGTTGTGAACTCTGTGTGGAAAAATAGTGAAATGGCACAGACCTGCTATTCTGTTGCACAGAAAGGTATATGTATATCCCTGTCTTTCAGGGAGAGCTACCTATAGGGCAGATGTACACTGCATGCATTGAAAACACCCTGCTGAATGAGCCCCTCAGGACTTAAAAGCAACAGAAATGTAGTTTCTGGATCTTAGCTTCACTTAACTTCACTTAAATGTTACTTAAATCCCATTCTTGTGAAGACTGAGAAATCTTGGGATTGCAAAACTATGTTATTAAATATCTAAGGGGGTTTTTGTGCATTCTCGGTTTTTTTCTAGGACTGGGGGAAAGGAAGAGGTGTTAAAACACCCAGGCAAAGAGTACAACCCTCACTTAAGAGGAGTACTGCTCCTTCCTGGGCTCTACAGTCTACAGCCCTAGGTCAGCACAGCAATACAACATATTACACTATTATGGTGAAAAAAAAAAAAAAAAAATCTACAGAAGTTGAAAGGAAGAATGAAGGTAGAAGAAGAAAAAATTTCTTTCCAAATTTTACCAGTGATAATCCTGACACATATTGACAGCTGTGTTAGGCAGGCTAAAGGGGGATACTCCCCCAAGGTAGGGAGCAACTGCAATTTGTTTTTAGCCTTAGACAGCCTAAATTCAAAACGGGATGGTTTTAGGACCCCAGAGTCAATTTTGCTGTGCATTTTATGACCCTAGGCAGTTGGCCTTGTTCTGCTGATCATTTTAACTTCACAGGTTAAAAACAAGACAGTCACCAGAAGGACATCTTCCTAAGCCTTCACAAAGTTAACCATTCTATCCTGTCCAATCAAGTGGTCATTAAGGCCATTACATATTAATAAACAAATGAGAAAACTGTAGGGCTTTGTTCTCAACACATGTGAACTCTATATCCCTTTATATCACTCACATAATATAATCTCACATTGCCACTATTTCTCACATCTTCCCAGCTCCTAACCAATTTCTACATTAATTTATGCTTTATTAATTCAGAAAAAAAAATTATTAGTATGCAGGGTAATTGCTAAAAGGCAATTCCACCAGCCCAAATAACTATTAATTTATCAGATAGCTTCCAAATGTGCATTGGAATGACTCTCACGCAACTTCCAATGTTTTAAAAATTACTTTCAGAAACCCCCCCAAAAAAATTTAGACACTCAAAAACTTAAAAAACTAGATCCCAAAAATGAACCTCAAAACCAAACTACAAAGTATTTCTATTAGAACAAGATAATGAACATGGTTGGTGGAAATACGGGAATAACAAAATCTCTCTTTTGCAGCACTCCAGGCAATAATTTTGCATTTAATTATCACTGAAATTAAAGCACATTCTAGAGGAATGCCAAGTTAGTGGTTTACAATTCAAATCAAAACATTTTACTAAAAACATTTATTAGTTTTTCTCAACTATCATTTTTTAAAGTCATGTATTCCAATAGCAGTTTCTAATCACCTGCATAACTTAATACTCCTCCTTTGAAAACATAAAAGCATAGGGAGAAACTGAAAATTAACAGATAACTTCTATTACATGCATAAAGCAATCAAAGACGAAAATCAAGAAAAGTATGAACAAGTTTGGAAACAAAAAGTAGGAAGCCTTACCTTGAAAAGCAGCTGCATTACAAGATACTAAAAATTTTAATGTAGTGCTTGATGTTTGAAGCACTTGCTCTATATCTTGCTTTGCCGCAGCCTGGTATCTTTCTTCCATCTTCTTGGTACAGCATGTTGGATTTTTAGAAGCACAAACCCGGAGATCAACCCCCAGAGAAAGAGATATTTACACTGATTACTACAAAACACAAGTATGCAATACATAAATGCATAGCAAATATTTGGGGGGGGGGGGATTTGGTTGATGTTTTTTTTTTCATATAGATATTGACACATAAAAGAAATACCCAAAGCTTTAAAGACATCTGGTCTTGTTAAACAAGAAATAGAAGGGGATAATAACTAAAATTCTCTGGGAAGAGAACACTTATTACAGTTAGTTAATGTCATATAAGATAATTTCCCTGACACTATAAACTTATTCCAGCTGTGAATATTTCTAACTAATGTTGGTAAAATACTTAACTTTTTATTTCCCTTTCACTAAACTTTTTAAGTCTTTTTTTCACCTATTTTTCTCTGATAAATCTTTCTAAGGTAGTATGAATATAGCTAGGGAGAAGGGAGGCCTTACACATTTTGGAGCCTAAATATTCCATTAGTTATCTTATGTAAATTAGGTGTTTTAAATAAACATATACCAGAAAGCTAAGAAAGAAAAATTCAGCTGAATAGGAGCATTCTGAAAGAATGGTAAAATCTTTAAATGTATTATATCAAATTCATGTCCCTTTATCCATTGAAGCAAACTTATGGAAGGGATTCCTGGCCCTGGAATTTCACTTCAGCTACATAGTGGGAAAAAAAGCGCTATTGTTTATATAAAGCAATCCCAATCCTGAAGCAGGAACCCACTGTGCCACATTTAGACACCAGAAAAGATCCAGAAGATTCCTTAGAAATCACATTTAGAAAAGTACAAGACTAGAATGAAACAGGTAAATTATATGAACCATAAAAAAAAAACAACAGGAATTTGGCCAAGACATGGATGAACACTTGTACAATACTCCACAGAAGGATTTTGATTCCCATGACAAATAAACAAATTTCCCTTGGTAATTACTGATAATACAGTCTCAGATTTGCTGAACATTTCTTTCTGGCATTGCTGGTTTCTATCTTCACAATTCCTGGTGCCCCCATCCAAAAGCAAGTTTGGAAGGAGAATACATTTGAACCATCAGTATTAAATACTACAGAATTTCTCTTAATTTTTGAAGGGTCTTTTCTGCTTCAGGCTTTAGGTCATATGATGTAAGTTTTCAGGCAAAACTAATTCACTTAGTGAGGAGTGCTGCTCAGAAACTGATATAATTCCATACTCACTAAAGTCTGACTCTATATACACAAGAACAATTTATTACCTATTGTAAAACTGTGTGCCTTGAAACAAATCCATTTCACAGACATAAACAGCAGTAAATATCATTATGTTAAATGAAAAGCAGTAGATACTTTAAGAAATCTGACTGCCACACAGAATTTACAAATCTGAGACCGCCTTCATGGTAGCACGCAAATGTAAGAATGTAACCTCTGGATGTGAAAATAAATCTCTTTGAAGTGGTCTCCAGTAGCAGTTCAATACAAGTAAGTACACCTATGAGCCACAGTACAGAAAGCTGAACACCTTAACCAGCACAACTGAAAGCTAAAACTCTGCTCTAATGTAGGCATAAATCACCGAACTTCTGAGAGTATTAAGAAATTTTATTTCATAAGTGTTATACTATAGATATGACATCTTTTTCCTCATACAGCTTGGTGGTTTTGAAGGCTATTTATCTTCATCATTTATTTAAAAATAGTTTTTTCATGTTCTTCATTATGTACACTTTCACACTTTACAAACTAAGTAATTTCTCCTGGCTAGCTGCCTTTACAAATCTCTTGCCATGCAAAAAAATTAATATTCCATTCTCTGACATTCCAATTCATCTGAGAAATTAAAATAAAGCTGCAAGTTAAGGTGGTCTATTAAATTACCTTTATATTAGCTACTATTTATGCTGTGCATGCCAAAGAAAATGTTCAGCATCAGAGCCAGCCTTTAATAAAGTTCCTTGCCTGAAAGCAACATTAATAAGCATCTTACAATGATTTTTATTAGTATTAAAAATACAGTTCACCAGTTGTCTACAACCTCAGAATCCATGCAACTGTCTATACAAAATCTCCCTCTCCTCTACCTCCACTGCATGTCCCTTGCTTCCCCAAGCCAGATTTCAATCTTTTGACCCCACTGACTTCAACCTCCCAGTCCATACCAGCTCTCCAGAGTGAGGCCCATCAATAGGTCAAAAGAACAAATTAGCGATGCATGACTCAGATCCAGAAATGTAAGGATTAAAGCTGTGTTAATACTATCCATTCCAGGGGTGAGTTATGCTGCATGTACATGAAACACAAACGCAGGTAATTCTAATGCAAAACATGTCTAAGTTGACACTGTTTAATGAAATAAACCACTCCAAGTTTCTATTAATCCTTTTAAATCCTCTTGCTCGTAATTAGATAGATTTGCTGTTATACTGAATACTAATAAACTTAAATATTAGCTACAGTAAATAAGAACTTTAAAATAACACACTGTTAAAACAGCAAGCAATAAACTGGACTAATATAACACCCACCTGCAAACAGATTAAAGGAATGATAAATAAGCCTACAGCAGTATTTACTCATCATACCAGAGAGGTCAATTCACAGATATGACACTCAGCTTTCTCGATCTTTTTTTTTTTCTTTTTTAAGTCTCAAAGAGTTTATCATACCACAAATATCACAGTACAAGACAAGCCAAGGTATAGTCTGCAGCATGCCTGAAGCAACAGACCTGACAAACATCAAGAGAAAAAATGTTCATACTTATAGCAATATTCACAGCATTGCATTACATCAGTCATTTTTCCTATTTGGTTACTGAATATTATCTCCTGCTGGTAACAAAAATCAAATCACTACTGTAGAAAAGAGGCAGGGAGCTATCTAGTCATGTAACTAATACTGTAAAGAGAGGAACTATTATTAAGTTGTTTGGACACGTTTCAATACCATACCAATTTCAGATTTACCGTATTCTTTATTCCCCGGCATCTGTTCTTTAGGCTCTTCTCTGGAAAGGAAAGGTTTTATTTACATTTGATTATTTTAAAATTGATTTTTTCTAATTATTTCTCATTATCTGTGCATACAATTTCTCTTTATTAACCTTCAAACAAATCAGCAGGGAGCTCATAAAGAAAGAATTAGTCATATAACCTGATCTATTAGTGTTTGTCTATTGGTCTCACACTGACAAACCAAGCAATTTACAATTCTTTGCAGTACTCATATTTTCTTAAAACTCAACTTCTGTTGTTCAGGAAAAGTCTTTTGTCTTTTATCTTCATAAAGAAGTTTCTAGCCAGCATAATTTACAAAGAAAGAGTGCAGGGCAGGACAGAGATCACCTGTGATACTACAGATTTAAGACAGATATTTTTTAACCCATATGCATGAATTCTGAGGTGTCTGGTACACCATTATTAATACTGCTGCTCAAATTTATATATGGTAACTAATACAGCCATTAATTTAAGTACAGCTGAATTGAGACTCTATAATGCAAAATATCCTATCAAGAGAATATTTTTGACCTATAAGATAGTCTCAAGAAATAAAAGCTGAACTGCTACGCACAAATTCACCATTTTATCAATTCATCTAATCAGAATAATATCTGAACTAAATTATGAACTCTTATGCTCCTGAAACCTCCAGGTCTATTAGAAATCTTACTATATAATACATGTTAAATTCATGTCTCACCTTGCTCAAAGCCTGTCTTTGTTAAGAAAAATGCTCAGCACCTACTTACAAAACCGACACAGAAGCTAACTCGGAACAACACTGAGCTTAGTTTTCCCTCAAAGCTGCATCAGTTTCATGGAGAAAAGAACACCAAATTATTTCATTTCTAAATACCCAGAAGATAATCTGCTGCTCATATATTACTCTGAAGCAGTCTCTTCACTCTTCCTGCAATGTGCTCCTTCGGATTGCCATTAGCGCTGAGATTCCTCATGATAGCTTTGGTTTCTTTTACCAGATGTTAGACATGTTTCTGTTGCTTCCAATTTCACAAAGCAGCCTGAGAACCCCAATCTAATCATTTCATGTTCCTCTCTTTCATAAATATTTAAGATAATTATATATTTATTAAAAATACAAATATTTTCTAGCACAATTCTCAGTAATTGTCTTATTTCTTTATTTCATACTTTTAAAGTTTAATATTACTAACTACTCCTATTTTCTTCTTAACCTCAGAAAATTTTAAGTACAATTATAACAGCCCAACAAATCTGTCAGAGCAAAAAACAGAGCAGTAGTCTGAACCAGAATTAAATGACAAAGGGGAGAATAAATTAATCTAGATTAATTTTACTAAGCATTGCCTACATTAGGACTTCCTTCTTCTTCATAAGCAGAAAACATGATTACAAAGAAAACAGAACTATACAATGTCACAGTGAAGGCTGATTCACTCCACTACGCTTTTCACATCTAGTCTAGGAAGGAGTCTTTCCTCTTCTCACTGAGTACTTGTGATAAGAAATGAACTCCTACAAACTTCAAGAATTTGCAAGACCTGCTCATGACAGCAGTATGATATTCCCATTTTGATGATATTATGTCTGTGAAGTTGCTATTGTGTCTGTGAAGTTGACATTTCCCATTAGGACAAGGGCTTTTGATCATGAAATTTCTCCTAATTGCTTACAGAATTACTCACCAGTGCTTATATCCTGGCTGGCTGGTACACTCACTATAACATCTCCTTTGTTTTCCACTCCCCTCCCTAATCCTTATGCAGATGCTCTGAACCACATCATCACAATCAAACCTCTTCCTTAAGCATAGTGTGACACCTTTACAATTCACACTACTCCAGACAATAGTACAGTGGATGAGAACTAAGATCTTCAATAAACTGTTATTACACAGTCTGGATACCAAATCATTTAAGAAATAAAAAAACAATTTCAAGAAGGTTAAAAAAGGAAAACTCCCAACTAGATATATTTTTCTTCTCCTAAATCACTATACTGTTACAGTTTTCTGGTAAGTGACTTACTAGAAAGATATTATCCAATTTTCCAGATTATGGATGT